AGCCTGCTTGCCCATCAAGACAGGCTTCTTATACTACCCGTATTTTCCCAAAACTTTGTTACTAATGCTTCACAGAAATGAAATGCTCTTTCTTTGAATATGGCCCATATTTACCTAAAGATTCCTATTTTTAATCAAAATAATTTTATTAAAATACTTCGATAATAAATATCATGTTCACAGATCAAATGGTATTTATGTGAAATCATCATAATAGTTACAAAATACATGTAAGCTATTAGCAACAGGTAAACTGTGAAACAAGTTTAACAGGATATTTAGCCGCAGTATTATTCCATAATTTCATGTTGAGATATAGATTCCCCACACCAAATTATTCCTGGGATTATTTTCTTTAGCAGAATTCTTAATACTACAAAATGAAACTTTTACAAGTTTCACAAAAAATTATCTTTATTTCAAGAAACTAGAACTATATACATAGCATTATTTGTATCCATCTTATTTATATTATATAGCACTGTTCTTTCAAGACTAATAATATAAAACCTTATCCCATATCAGTCATGCAAACAAGAGATTAAGTGACTTACAAAAAAAAAATCCAGTGATTCTGTTAGGATGGAATCCCAGGGCTCTTGATTTCTACTGCATTCGCTGCACTAACCATACATATTATCTGCCCCTCTACAAAGTAATGAAAATAAATCCCAAACTCTAAGTGTAGTTTAATGTGGAAATTCAGAAAAAGTGAGAATGTGTAAAATTCTTTGAGCTTCTCCACCAAAGTAATATGTAATTGTGTAAACTGAATTGTTTAGTTGTATAGTATATTACAGTGTTATATTCACAAAATAGAGATCAGATGCTAATGGTCTTTCAGAAAGCCATTGTTACCATTATATTTTTCTTGGAGGCCAGCTCTGACAACCAGTTAATTAAAGAACCACAGTTATTTCTGTTAGCTTATATTAAACTGTATACTGTCAGAACTGGAAGGGACCTCTGAGACTACCTAGCTCAATGGCCACGTTTTATAAATGAGGAAATGGGACCCAGCAGATCAAGTGACTTAGCTAAGGGCACACAGCAAATTAATGGCAGAGCCAGAAGTCGTCTGGTGGTGTCTACCGTGCCTTGTCTACCATGCCATGCTGCTTCTTCTTGCCAGGGTTAATCACAATGCTTGCCTTCTCACATTTACTGTTTGGCTCTCTACCATTTCAGGTTGAAAGGCTAAGTTAATGTACTTTAGATGTTCATTTTTAGAGTATCCCTTTTTTACATGAGCTTTTATAACTAAGAAAGTCTGAATCAAGGAACACTTTCAAGGTGGATTGAATGGAGAACTTTGGAATGAACACTTGACCTGATAGCCTCCAAAAGTTAAAAAAATTAATGCCTCTTTAATCTTATGAGGTAGTTAAAAATTTCCCTACCTGGAGAATATAATCAGCAAAAGATTTTTAAAAAACCTCCAGGGTCACAGACAGAATCAGTTACTAAATGTAGAGAGAAAAAATATTAGCAAGGATCTGGGATCTATACCATTACTATTACAGTAGTCTGGCTTATGTGATGGATAAATTCAACTCTCTAGGCTCTAATTCCTACAGCTTATAACACAGGTACACCTGTTGCTTATTTCACAAGCATAACAACACCTAACAAGACATAGCATGGCAGAATAGATAGGGAGTTGGTATTAAAGCCAGGAAACCCTGGATTCAAATCCTACCTCCAATTTATAGCATTCCTGCTGTGTGACCTTGGGTAAGTCACCCTTTCTGTCACCCAGGCCACTTTCTAAGATCATGAGTTGCAGCTATGGTAGTAGAGCGAGTTTCCTTACCAGGAAGGAGTTCCCTACTCCAGGGAAATCCCAAGTTTTGGGGCAGCTAAGTGGCACACAGTGGACAGAGCACCAGCCCTGGTCAGGAAGGCCTTGAGTTCAAATCCAGTCTCAGGCACTTACTAGCTGTGACCTACCTGGGCAGCTCACAACTCCATTGTCTCAAAGAAAGAAAGAAACTCCAAGTTTAGATGGAAAGAAAAGAACCCAAACTTGCCAAACACTTTGAGGTATGACAATGGAAAGTGTCCTGTGAAATTAAAGTATGAAAGATGTTCAAATGAACCCCAAACTGTTCTTAAATGCTTCAAGAGGCTGGGGGGTGGTGGGTTGGTGTTCATAATGAATATTGTTATCCCCTCATCTAGAAAGCTCCATTGTTCCAAATGCAAAGTATGTATGCTGGTCACCTAAGACAAATTCTTTCTATCTTGCAGATTCAGTGGCTCATTAGGATTCCCAATAGGCTCCTTCCTCCTACTAGTATATTTAACAATGAGAACATCAGCTCAGAGACTCAGCTGTTTTCTGTCAAGTCTACTTTATATCTCAGCTCCTTGAAGGTATTCTTCCAATCAATTATCAAATAACCCAGAAAAAGAGGGCTCACAACGTGCTCCCAGATGAGCCAGTAACAACTAAGAATCAGGATCTCTCAATGATATCCAGCTTTATGTTTTTATGACAAAAGCTACATTATAGAAACTACTCTGGATATTTAGGCACTGTCTATGGCATCTTCCATTTGTGCTAATCTTAAATACAAGTTTAAATCATGGTACTGTGACTTTCAGGCTACTTTACAAACCGTCTGTTGAATCAAGCTGAAATATGGCAGCTTATTCAATTATAGATGTCATTTCCCTACATTACATATCATTTCCTTGGTATAACCTACATTAGTAGAGGGAGTTTCCTCACTGTGAGTTCTCTAAACCACAAAATCCCACACCTCCTCCCCAAACATGGAGAAATATATTTTAGTACAAGGATCTGCCATTTAAATTTTGTGCAGAATAACTTTTTTTTTTTTTGGCTAGGCGATGGGGTTAAGTGATTTGCCCAGGGTCACACAGCTAGTAAGTGTCAAGTGTCTTGAGGCCGCATTTGAACTCGGGTCCTCCTGACTTCAGGCCAGTGCTCTATCCACTGCGCACCTAGCTGCCCCCAGAATAACTTTTAAAGAAGAGATCACATACGATGGAAAAGAACATTGGCTCTGGAGGTAAAAGGCCTCAATTCTAGTCCTGGCTCTGATGTAGTGACCTGGAAAGTCAGTTTTACTTCTGTGCACCACAGTTTCCTCACATATAGAGTTTCTAAATTTCTTTAAAAAGTGCAAACCACCTGTTAAAGGGGTTTTCTTCCATCAATGAGCCATGACTACAAGGCATGAGGATAGTGGGAAATGCAAAACTAGGTAATTGATAGCAAGCAGGTAAAATAGGGATGACACTGTTTAGCTGAGGTATAACTGCTGTTGGCACTCAACAGTTCTTTTGGGCTACCATGCAATGGGGAACTACATCTTCGTGATCCTTATATTTACACAGGACATTTGTTTTCAGAGTACTTTTACATATTTAATTTAATTCTCATGAATCAGAAAGGGCAGTTATCATCCTCCCTATTTTTCATTTGAGGAAGTTGAAGCTCAGAGAGGTCATGTGACTTGGCTATGGCCACAGAGACAGTAGGGGCAGGGCCAGGACAGACCACAAGGTGCTTTCCACTACTGCCTTCTCTATGGCTTGACTTCCAGAGACCACATAAAACCAAGTTTTGTTGAGTTCTTTAAAGGCATACTAGAACAGTGGTGTCAAACTCAAACAGAAACGGATCCTTGGGCTGGCATATCAACTTACATTAATTTACAAATTAATATTACCTATGTTGAACTGTCTTTTTATTTATCATATTAAACACTTCCCATACACATTTGGTATACTCAGGAATTTTGAGTTTGATACCTTTGTACTAGAAAAAAAAATTGATCAACTGGAACCTAAATACTAGGAATCGTTAGCTAACCAGAACAGTTATCATCCTCTGTACTCCCCGGGGCCCACCTCTTCTAGAAGTAAGAGGCAAATCACATGATCAGATTAGTTAAAAGAACACATTCTTAGACTGCTCCTTGAGGGCTAGGGCTGTTATTTTTCATCTCTGTATCTCCAGTGCCTAGACTAGCATAGTGCCCCATACATACACAGTATGTATTTAAATGTCATAGGCTAAGCACAGATTCCCCACTCCTCAATTACTTCTTATAGAGTATCATATAGACAACTATATTTTTTTTCAGAACTATCATTGATAAGCATTTACAGGGTGTCCCAAAAGTCCTAGTGCAGTTGTAACTGCACTAAGACTTTTGGGTCAGCTGCATTAAACATCAACTACATGCTAGGCTGGGGGATACAAACATAAAGAAGGAAATAATTCCTATTTGCAATGACTTTATGTTATTTAGAAGAGACAACATGTACGTACATAAGTATATAAAAAATAAATCCTAAATTTAAAAAATTCAATTATGTTAAGTCTTCTATTTTAAGGCAGAAAGGTAGACCACTATATTTTAGAAAGTTTCTAAAAAAAGGCTGAAACAAAAACGTTTGTTTGGTTAACTCTGAGTTAACCAGATTAATACCTATTCCAGTTAATCATTAATACATAAATAATGTGTGTGAACTTAAATATTCCAAGAATAATCACAGTAATGGAGTATGAAATATCTTGAAACCTTAGAAATGCCTTGCTGTTCTGGTTTTTCTTAGCATATATTCAAAACTCTTCTATTACTCCAATTTTAAGATTCCAGATTTAAGCCTTTTGAGAGCTGGGATACTGTTATGGCTCCCAAAGAAGTTTCAACTCTGATTCCCTGATTATATGAATAATTTATATCACTCAATTTCACAATGTGCACGTGCTAATTTGCAAGTGTGAACATGCACTATTTTGGTGTGTGAACATGTTAGCATGTACTATATATAAGCTAAATATAATAATTTTATGAACAATCTAATTTTGTGCCAAATTCAGCCCTTCTTGCTTCATATCTCCATATAACACTCTTACATTCAATATATCAATGAAAAATCTCTACCAACAGCAGCTCTTTGAATACGTAGTTAATACAAGATTTTGGCCCCTTAAAGCAAGAAGACAAGCAAGACTGACGGACAATTTCACTTCATTCCTTTACTCTGAATTCTGACTTTATGAACTAAAATCCTAGTCTTAAGATTGCCATAGCTTATTGACATTCAGTGGTCATATTTTAACCATGAGTTGTTTTCAAGTCTTCAATTTTATTAAAAGAAAATAAATTAGAATAGTGCCAGAAGCTTCTTATGTCAACCACCAAAACCAAGATTTCAGTCATTGCTTGCCGTTCCTATCGGTTTGTTAGGATACTTCGGCTCGACCCAAAAGCATCTGTCCTGAGACTGTTCTTCATCTCAATTCTTCCACTTGCTTGGAGAGGCTTTTTAGGTAAAGAGGGCATCTAAACAAAGGAAGAAACCAATTTTATTTTAAAAGGGAAAAGGAGATCACATTAACTATAGCAACTGGTATACCTACATAAGTATTTACTATGAAAAAATATCATAGATAATAAATCAATTTCCTTAGTGACACTGCTGGCACAAAATTAAGAAAAATGGATACATTTTATACATTTGTATAACAATTTTTCTTTCTGCATCTAGATTTTGCTTATGACAAAGCCATGCATCAACTGCTTTCACGTGTCAAAACGTATCGTGTTCTGTATATAGCAAGAGTTTAACAGATGTTTACTGATAATGTCAGTTGTATTTCTTTACAATTTCCTAAAAGTTTATTTTTTCATAAATTGTACCACCTAGATGCACTTAACTATTTTATTTCTGATAAAATTGAAAGTTTAAGTAACAGACTATTTTGTTGCTAAATTTATAGATTGCAAAATAAAATGTGACCCAAGATGCATTACGTAATTTCAAGACAAGTTTTCCACTAAATAATGAAACAATTTTTTTCTTACCCAGGCCACATCATAATTTATAAATTATTTGAAAAATTAATAATTTTCATGATTCTGCTTTGATAAGGAAAGCTCAAAGACTCTATGTTATTCAAATGGACACTTTTATATTTGTCAAATTATATCACTACAATGGCAAAAGAAAACACTTCCAGGGGCAGCTAGGTGGCACAGTGCATAGAGCTCCAGCCTTGGAGTCAGGAGGACGGGAGTTCAAATCTGGCCTAAGACACACAACACATGATACTTATTAGCTGTGTGACACTGGGCAAGTCACTTAACCCCAATTGCCAAGTAAAAAAAAGAAAAAAAAAAGAAGAAGAAAACACTTCCAGAAGTTTCAATGTACCATTGCCAAAGCATCTAAAGGGCCTATTTTTATAACACACAGGACAAAAAACTCCTTGAGGTAAATAATACAAATTCTTCCAGGATCCTACAGAGAAGACAGTGTATTCAAATGTGGCAATGTAAAGAAAGGAAAAAGACTGGCAAATAATGTGAACCAACTCAACTAAGTTCATTAAGTAGATACTGAGTAACTACCTACATGAAAGATACTATACTGGATGCTAAGATTCTTCAGCATCCAGTAATAAGAAAATTTTCCATAGCATTTTAAGTTTTGCAAAGTGTTTACATACATTATCTCATTTAATCATCACAGCAATCTTGGAAGCAGCACTATAGATATTTACTCCAATTTACAAATGAAGAAATTGAGGCTGAGAGAGGTTCAGTGAATTGCCCAGAAGCAACATAGCTAGTAAGTGTGTAAATGGGATTCCAACACAGGTCCTCTGGACTCCAAGTCTAACACTATAAATTACCTCTCTGAAGTAAATACCTAACAGGAATGTCAAAGAGAAAATTAGAGTCATCTCTGCACACTTTCAAGTACAACATACCATAGGAGGTAAAGGAGCTTCTAGCTGTCGACCAAGAAATGAAAGCAGGCGCCTCCAGATGAGGCCACTTCCCATAAACATGATTCCTGTTACCAGCCAAAACACTCTATGGTCCTAAAATGGAATAAATAAGTTGACTTCTAGAAAGCCTGGGAGGACAGATGGACCAACATTCTAGTAACAGTAACAATGCACTGTCCCAAGTCTAAATTGAGCAGATTTTCCTAGTTTCAATAACCTTACAATGGTATGGGACAAATAAAATTCCCTTGATGATACCCAGAGACCAAGAAACATGAACAATTTTTTGAGCTAGAAGGAAACAGAAATCCTTTTAGAGTTCAATATCCTACCTGGCATAGAAATCTTTTAGAGAGAATCCCTGACAGAAAGACATTATAGCCTCTCCTTAAATACTTGTAATGTATATTTTTCAGCTCACTACCCAACAATCCTATAAGACAGCTGTAACTGTGAGGATGTTCTTTTTAATGGTCAGTTTAAATCTGCTTCCCGGTTAAGTCTAGGGATCACGAGTAAAATTAGGAATACAGGATTCTATAGCCTAATAAGAATATAGGAACATACATTTTTGTGTTCACTGTTATTTCTGAGAGCTCAAGAGAACATGACATTGCATTATAAGAGAACAGAACAGTCAGAGATAAATGTTTACTTAGCATAGGTGGGGAATATGTTCTGGTTACACACACACAGAGACACACACAGACACACACACACCATGGTCCTATAATCCCCGAGGCTGCAAAAAGTTTGTGAATGTTACATTCATGATTTTGGGAGCCAGAAAGGCACAAAGTAAGCCAGACTCTATGTTACCAACATGGCATGACATGACTCCTCTGGGGGAAGAAGCAATTGACTAAAGAGTACATATTTGATGTTCCTGTTTCCTTAAGTCACCTGAAGTATGCGCCTTCTTTTCTGCTGTTTGACCTCTCCTGTCTCCTTACCCTTCCCAAGCCTATCCCCACAATTTGGAAATAGCTGCAGAGGAAAAAGGATTTCAGATGCACCAGAGGCTAGGGTATTAAACCTACTAAATGTTAAAGCACCCAAGTGTCACACCAATGCCAGGAAAAGGGTGGCAATTGGTACAGTGTGTATGTACTTCAAAAACTCAAAATCATGGGTCTGTGAATAGGAAAGCCATTTTGCATGCCACACATGAATTTCAACTTTACATTCAATTCTAAAACAAGAGTGAAAGTAATTTAATTTCTTTGATAAGTCAGGAAGCACCTGAGAATTGTACATTTCTTTGGGGTCATCATTATGATAAAACGGAAATAGAAATTCCAATAAATCTTTAGTTTTCTAGATTTTAGATAAAAAAGTCATATACTTCTTTACAATTTCACATGAACCCCAACTCTAAATATGTGAAAAATGTCTTCTGAAGACTTAATCATTCTCAGTCAAGGAACTGGTTAAGATTCACTTCCTTCTTACACCTGTAGTTGTGTATCCTACATGAATACTACAGGAAGTAACTACCAGATCTGAATAACAGATAAGGAAAGCTCAAAGATTCTATGTTATTCAAATGGACACTTTCATATTTGTCAAATTATATCACTACAATGGCAAAAGAAAACACTTCCAGGGGCAGCTAGGTGGCGCAGTGCATAGAGCTCCGGCCTTGGAGTCACCTGCCTGATGAGTGACTATCCAGCCTTTGCTTAAATACTTCCTAGGAAAGTGTTCTCACTGCCTCTTTGGCATATCTCTCATGGTCACAAAGTTTTTTTTAAGGCTAAATTTACCTTTTTGAAACTTTAACCCATCGCTCCTTCCTTCTGGAGCTATTTATTTACTCTTCTATGTGGGAACCCTTCATATGCCAGTGTTCCCTAAGAGGTTCTGTTGTACTGCCATGAAAGACAGAATCCAGACCCAATAAATAACTACATACATAGACATGTGAAATAACAAAGTTGATGTACAACTCAACCCTCATTTCAAAAGGAGCCCAGAGTTTTTAAAAATAATAAGCTCTCACCTCTTCAAGGGAGGACTCCAAGTTCATTCCAAAGGCAACTCCCATTAGTCCAAAAAGTGAAAGAGAGAAGGTTCCCATGGTCAACTGTAGATTCAACCTCATCATCACATTACGATGGCTAGGGTAGAGAACACCTATTCAGATCAGAACAACTTATCTGCTGGCTACACTTTGCCTGAAAATCAAATATTCTATGTAGAGACAGCAATGTATCAAAATCTACACTCCTATCAAAGAGGCTACGCTTTCATGTAGTCTCTAATAATAATGGTACAGTTATGATATCTATGTTCTAAAACAATAAACCTAATCAGGAAGAGTAGCTGTTCAGTAAATAATTTTTGATGGACTTTTAGATAAGGTGAGCTTACCTGTCTAGATTGATGAAAATAATACTTTCTGAGTCATCAATCAATACTCTGAGCTCCCGAGCTTTATTGGAGAGATCATCAGCTAACCTGTAATAGTTTTCCAAAAGCAGTTCCATCTCTTCAGCATGGTCAATTCCAGTACTGCTCTTCTCACTGCAAATAAAAAAAATTATTTAGCTAGAGATATGCAAACATGTCACTTTTACATATGCATACATATTACACTATCACAAGACCTACCTGGTACTAAATTTAGTCCTGAGAGGACCTAAGACCAACCTCTAACAAAAGGCAAGGATTTTTCTTTTTCTGTGATAGTTCTCTGTGGGTGGTTGGCATGCTACATTAATAAGATCAAGATCTGTTTTCACATGTGTTCCTTCCTATACAGATAGGAAGATGAGGGGAATAAAATTCTATGTGGATACACACACTTTTGTACATTACATATAACTTGATTTTGAAAGAGGCAGGATATCCTAAACAGCAATAATGTCTAAGACCTTGGTCTTATCTTTTACTCCTTCTTCGTCTACAACATCAAATCAGCTAACAAATTCTATATATTTTTTTTCCCAGATTTGTCTTACATCTGCCTCAACTTTCCATTCCCATGGCAACTACCCTTGATCAGGCCCTTGTTATCTCTTAACAGAAATATTGCAATAGTCTAACTGGTCTACCTGTTTCCAGTTTCTCCCTCTGCCAAAAAACCCTTCCCAAAGCATAGCCCTTATCATGTCACTCTCTCACTCAAAATCCACATATGGCTCCTCATCAATCCACATATGGCTCCTCATCAGTCACTGAAAAAAGCCTAAATTCCTTAGCATTACACCTAAGGCCTTTTTTTGGATCTGATTCCAAGCAATCTTTCCAGCATTATCTCCCATGTTCTCTGTTACATATAAAAATCACAGAATTACTCTTCATCCTACAATCCAGGTAAACTGGCCTTTTCTCTATTCCTCATACATTATACTCACTTGTCTGTCTCTGTGCTTTTGCACTGCCATACCCTCCCTTCACTCCCACCTTTGTTTCACAAAGTTCCCCTCTCCTTTCAAGACACGGCTCAAGTACTATCAACTTCTGTAATAACTTTCCTAATCTCCCTGCTAGTGCCCTGCCCAATGAAATTACTTTTAACTACTTTGTACTTATTAGTATCTATTCTTTTTATATTTATTCTGTATGTACTTATATAATTACTTGTTGACTTCTTTGAATGTAAGCTTCTTGAAAGTTGATGCCTTCATTCTTTGTATCTTTAGTGCCTAGCACACAGTAGGGACTTAATAAATGCTTGTTGATTAATTGTTTGCACGTAGGAAATTAAATGTTTGTTTACCTGAATATATTTACTTGTCATAGAAAAGCAAATACATTAGCTGTACTCTTTGTACTAAAAAGTTATCATTAGAAATATTAACATAATAAGGCAAAATATGGATCTTAGGACATAAACTGTAAGAAAATGGGTCTGGGCTGTGGTAGACTTACAAGACTTCAGGATCACTCCATTTGGTTAGACAGAGTTCTTCCATCAATTCTTCTTCATCTAGTATTTCCAAAATTGACTCTTTGAAAACTTTAATATCTGTTTCTAATTCTGATAGGCTGTGGGAGTAAGAAAAATAATTAGGAACATATTCATTTAAAGGTGTTTCATTTATCTCATACAATTCACCAGTATTATATATTGATTTTAAAAATCTTTCCTAATTTCACATTACCCCTATTTATTTGTGACTTCATTCTAATAAGAATGACATCGTATGGAGTATTTTTTATGAACAATAAAATTTCACATTCTAGAACTGGAGAATGAAATGCAAAGGCTGAATATCTAAATAATATTTCATGCACAGATTAGACATCCTGGCTATGTATTAATGGAACAAAAAGTGAGCACAGTAATGTTGTAAAGGAAAAGACTAGAGAAATAGAGGAAAGCAATCACAGAAGTGGTTATTACTCTTTAAGTTGACAAACATTCCTCCTTATTCTCTAACACCTTCTGGACCACAAAGGATGCTCTGATGCCACAATATAAACGTCAACTTGGAGGGAAATCTCTAGCCAAGTGTTGGCCTTATGCTGTTTAGCATTTTTATCATGACTAGGAAGAAGGCTGAGATAATATGCTTAGCAGATATGCAGATGCCATGTAGCTGAGAGAAATGTGTAGCTAACATCTTAGATCCAAAAACAATGGGCTAAATCTATTTAAATGAAATTTAAGAGACCATATAAAGAACTACATAGAGATTAGAAAAATCTATTTCAAAAGTAAAAGATGGAAGAAGCTCGTTTAGACAACAGTTCATATGAAAAAATACCTTGATGAATAATAAAAATACCATGACACAACAACAACAAAAAGTATCATTATAGGTTGTATTCAGAGAGGCCCAAGAACGAGACCATAGGAAGTGACAGAATCACTGTACTATAGCTTAGGCAGAACACTCATGGAGTACAGAAATTAGTTTTGGGTGTCAAATTTTTAAAAGGACAATGACTAGTTGGAGCATACAAGCACTGGTTGAAAGGAATAGAGATATTTAGCACGAGAAAGAAAACTCAAAGTGAACATCACAGTTGTCTTCTAGTATCTGAAGGACTTTCTCAAGGAAGAGAGATTTGTTCTGCTTGGCCCCAGAGGACAGAAATAATAGTAATGGGTAAAAATTTTCAAAAAGGAAGTTTTGAATTTCCTGGAAGGAAAAACTTTATAAAAACATTAACTTATCAAACTGGCCTACTTTGGGAGGTAGTCAATTCCACCCTACCAGAGATCTTTAAGGGTAGGCTAGAAAACTACTCCGAATGTCATAAAGGGAATTCTTGTTCAGGTAGAGTTTGAACAAGATAGTCCCTGTGAGGCCCTCTAACCTTGAGATTCTATAAGTAGCCCTTATGTTGGAAATGCTTCAATAGTTAACTCTGGAATATATTTGTCTTTAGTGCAAAGTTTACGATCATGTGTGTATTCAATTTACCAACTGTAATCATTGAAAAGCTTTAGTTTCAGTTCAATTCCACTTAGCAGTTCCTTTTAAGGAGCTCATGAAACATTAAAAACTATTAAAAAACCCTAAAAAAAAATAAAACAAAACAAAAAAACCCCCAAAACCCTATCGAGGAGATATTGTAATAAGTATGTTAGGAGTGTAACAGAACATCCTATTTTAATCTACACAGTTAGAAAGGCTCTCTACCATACTTCTCCCCTCTCTACCCTTTTCCAGCTCCCCTTTATGTGTAGTCTTTCCTTATTAGGTGAGCACCTTGAGGGCAGGGACTGTCTCCATTGCTATCCCAGTGCCTGGAACATAGCAAACGTTTAATAAATGCTCACTTTATACACATATCTATTGATGGACACACTCCTTGCTTGTTCCTATAAAAGCTATAACATTTTAATACCAATATTTTTTCTGGGATCTTATGTGAAATGTCACCGTCTCAAAAGAATCAGGCTGCAACATATTACCAACAGTGACCTGCACATATGGCATAAGGGACAACAGCAAAAGCATGCACAAGAAAGGAAGTGAGGCTGGAGGTGAAGCAAGCCTTGCATGATGTGCAGGACCCATGAAATGGTAAAAGAACCAAAGAAGGCCTTTAAGCATACATAGTGTATCCATCTAGAGAAGATTCACATAACCATACGCAAGAATCGTACATACCAATAAGGCATGGGGGAGTTTCAGAACACACAAATGGAGGGAGTACATGCACAGATGAGAGATCACAGACCCATCAAAATAAGAAAGTATTTTCAACAAATATTTCAGTAATTATACTTAATTTTCATCTGGAATTATAAGAAATTCTACTTCAATAAGACAATTATTGAATGAAAAGTTGGCGTTCTCCCACTCATGATGTCACATATTTACCTTTTGCTATTTTGTAGTAAGATGTGCAGTTTGCTTCTGTCCACTGATGAATGTTTGGGGTCCACTAAAGCTTCCAGGGTCTCAAGAATGAGAGGCTGCAAAAGGCTAAGTTTCCCCTGAAGGGTGTTGATCTAGATAACAACATGACCTTTCATAAGAATTAAAACAATTCTTTTAGAATATTCTGGGTCAGTGAATCCCCTATTAACTACAAAAATCTACAATAACTAGAAATTTTCATAACACTTCAATGAATGGTAAGTGACTAGAACACTTCCAGGACTGGCAAACTACCCAAAGCCATTCTAAACCAAAATTACCCAGGCTTGAAATGCTCATTCTTCAGAGTTCTTCACAATGGCCCACATTTAAAGCTGAGAGGTTACTAAAATTCCAGACAAGACTCTCTTGCTAAAGAGACCCTTTTAACAAAAAGGGGAATTCATTAGTTAAAACAAAACCTATCAATCAGGAATCAGTATGGTCGCTGAAATAACCCATGGTAAAAACATTTCTAACTTGACTCAGCAATAAAAACAGTGGATGGCAGGTATCCATTCCCAAAAGGTTATTGCTGAAATAGTCAAACTGCCACTTAACAGATATATTTCAGTTGCTTCTCACATTCCCTTAAACACTCAGTTCCTATTCAGAAAAAAAGAGAGTAGAAACACTGAGGTTTCTGTTTTTGTTTTTTTTAAAGACACACAAATACGATCATCTAAACTTATACCATAATTTACACTAATTTATATTCCTTTTCAGTAGCATGTTTACTGCAAGTAGATAAATGAAAACCAGGCTCACCCAATACTGCAGAAGAGCTTCTATGACCCTAAACTCAAAGGGCAAGGAGTATGTGACAAGCTGACCCTCCCCAGCCAGCTGTAAAGGGAGTTCCCGGAAGAGCCACTGTTCCCAGTTTAAATTACGATAATCTAGTATCAGAAGATATTCTGGAGTGATCACAGCTTTCAAATACTGTAAAATAATATACAAACTGTTACATGATAAGAAAGAAAACAACAGAAATAGAGCATGGTTTCCCTCTAATACTTATAAAATTTGAATTCAGCATAAGTGAAATACCATGTCAAGGTTTGTGCAATATGATTGCTAAGCCCCTTGAGTTTTTTAGCTGACAGTAAATCACAATTCAAATATTTTTGAGATCAAGGCAAAGTCCCTCATTTTAATCTAGAGGACCTGGGTTATTTTAATGACTGACACGCTTATTCAAGGTTTGCCAGACAATTCCAAGTAAAGATAAAGTATTTACAACAGAGTCTTAACCTTCTTTTCTCTTAAAATATGCCCTGGTTGCACTGAGTCATTTTACTTAAATTCTAAAAGACTTTCATTTTAATGAACTTACAAATAATTGGCCCTAAATTCACTAAAACAGAAGCCTTTCAGAAAGCTTTCAGTATTTCACAAATTGCTGTGGACAAACAGTAAATGAAAAAACAAACACCCCAAACCACTAAATAAAGCAAAAGACTCAGGAGGTTTGTAATTTCAAAAATCCCAAAGGTGGGCTAAGTCCTTGGTCAGACTGGGAATGAGGAGATGGGTCGGTCAGTTTTGAATCTGCCAGTGACTAATGGCACCATCAGACTGAACTACAATACAATAACATAAAGGGAAGTTCTAATCAAGGCACAATCTGGATACATGTAGGCAGAAGTCTGCGAGTCAGGTCAATGTGTAGGTTTACTCTCTATGAGAGAAATGGGTAAGGAACAGCAAAACATCATTACCTGGGTGCCAGGCATTCCAAGTGCTACCATATGGTGGCAGATGCTCAGGAGGGGAAGCAAGTGTCTGTCAGTTACAGCAGGTGGAAGAACCCTTGGCACCAGGACTCTGACTATCCATACAAGGGCAAGGGAAGTGTGGAGCAAGGAGAATCTCCCTCTGTGTCCACATCCCTTGAGTAAGCTTTCCTGAGAAATGGTTAGGGGTGAATGACTGCAAACACCCAAGCTACACCTTACCAAAAGGCACAGCCCTGGGGAAGCATTCATCTATCAAGGGAATAGGAATTCTTGCCAAAGGAATTTCTGAACTTAAAGGGAGGAGTAATTATTGTCACTAAAAGCTGTGACTCACAAAGAGCTGAACTGAGCTAGTGTTCTGGGACTCATGTGCTTATTAACAATGAGAAGGGCTACAGAATACTACCCTTCAGGGGATGATAATTAGAATACATAAGCTCAAAATATATGTTATCTCATTTGATCCAGACAAGAATATGATAAGGTTGGCAAGAGGAGCATTTTAACTCCCATTTCACAGATAAAGAACTGGAGCTCAAAGAGATCCAATGTCTTGCCTAAGTTGAAGAACCATTAAGTGGTAAAGCTCAGATGGTAACTTGGCGCTCCTAATTCCAAGTTCACTGTTCCTTCTATGACAGCACATTACCCGGATGGAAAAATGAAATCTTCAGGATTGGCTTTTATCATTTCATAGGATCTGGTGTTGGAAGGAATTTGAGAGACCATCTAATCCAAACCTCTCGTTTTACTGATGAAGAATCTGTGCCTTGCCCAACAATGCCCATGTGGGATCATAGATTTAGGGCTAAAAGAGGCCTTAGAGGACATCTCTATTTTATCTTCATCAGCTCCTAATGATTTAATTATCATCTCTATGTAGATGACTCTCATATCTACATATTCTACAGCCTTTCTCCTGAGTTCCACTTCCATATGATTCACTGCCAATTGGACACTTCTAACTGGATTTCCCATAGACACCTCAAACTCAAAATGTCCCAAACACGATACAGTCCTCCTACAAAACCAACACTCTTATGAATATCCCTATTTTTGTATAGGCAACTACCATCCTTCTAGTCATCCAGGTTTGTAACTGATTTCTTTCTCAACTTCTTAACTCTTCCCTATATCCAATCAGTTGTTGACCCATGTTGATTCTACCTTTATAACATCCTACATTCACCCCCTTCTTTCTTCTCAAATAACCACTACTACTTTATTTCAAGCCCTTCTCACTTTTCAGCTAGACTACTGTAATAGCTTCCTAATTGACCCTACTGCCTGCCTCAAGTTTCTCCCCTCTCCAATCATCTCCTATATAATTGCAAAATCATTTTCCTCAATTACAGGTCTGACAGACACTCTCCTACTCAATAAACTCCAATGGCTCCCTAGTACCTCTAGGATAATATACAAACTTCTCTATTTGATATTCAAAATCTTTTACAACTTTGCTCTAACTTATCTTTCCAATTTTAGTATATATAACACCCTTCCACTCTTCCCTTTATGTACTCTTCAATCAAGTCAAACTGTCTTTCTACTATGTCGCTCGTGACGTTCCAACTTCCATTTATAGGCCTTTGCAAAGGGTGTCTCCCAAACGTGGAATGAATTCTTCCCTCACCTCTGCCTCTTAGAACCCCTAGTTTCAGCCAAGCAATATCTGCTACATGAGACCTGCCTGTCAAAAATAATTAGTTTTTATTTTGTATATATTTCTACATGTACATGTTATTTTCACTAATAAAATGCACACTTCCTGGGAACAGATATTATTTCATTTTTGTTTTTCTATCTCCAGTGGCTGACAAAGTGTTTGGCACATAGTAGGCAATTAATATTCACTGAGTAACCAACTTATGACTTACCCCCCCTGCCTTTTTTTTTTTTACAGATCAGAGGCTCTGAAAGGTTAAGTGACTAGACCAAGGTTACACTGGCAAACAACTAATTCTCCAGGTGGTACAATCTACCTGAATGAATTCCAGTTAGTGTCTGGGAATATTTTCAGTAACCCTCCTGCTCATCTTCCCCAGTTAGAATATAAAATATTATTACCAAAAATTATTCATGAAAAAGTTGGTCCATCATGTAGGGAGCTATAAAGAACTTTCAATTTCTACAACTATTAAAAGTTGAACTTGAAGAAAAGTTGAACTTAGGGAAAGCCATGACCTCATGCTGTATCTACATAAGTGTCATCATCATCAAGGATGAAAATTTTTAAGCTCTAGCTAAGTCACCCTCAAGACACTCCAGCACAAATTCTCTTTCTTTCCCTTCCTCTGCTCTCTGAAAAAAAAAAAGCTTAATGCAAATGGGATAGAAGAATGGGGAAATGCAGAAAGGACAAAATTGTTCAATATCTCACTAATACACATATCATAAGTGATATTCTAAATGGGCTGACAAATCATAATAACTAATAACTATAAAAATGATATTCCAAAAAAGGTTTGAAAAAGCTTCACTTCCTAATTTAAAGGATATCTGCCAAAGCTATACTGCCCAAGAAGCTTTGCAGTTGCACGTTTCATATCATATTTATGAGGGGAAAAGCAAATAGCTAAAATATTAGCTGATAAGATGTTTTCCCAAGATAGTTCCATGGCCACTTGCTATGGACCTGTCATTCACATTATCTATTTCAACACAGCACAAACTCATGTTCATAATGATGATGATAAGCCATCAAAAAGGGATAAATATATTTGGTATTATTCTGCTTATTAAAGTGAAGAACTATAGAGTATATTTTTTACTTTCCTTTAAGAAAAATAATAAAGTTCTAATACTTTAGGGGTCCTCATTTATCTGGAAACCTTGGCCATCTAGAATATCTCAATCCTTTGGGGCTTTGAATTATTTGTTTTATATGCAAAGAACACAGATTTAAGCATTTACCTCTTCAATACTTTAAGGGGCTGTGATTTCATCCCAGTGGCAATTCTTCACCAATACATATCACAATCACTCTATAATGTAGATGATCTTTCGGAGTTACTATGGCTGACAAATTTACTGCCCTGCCACCAACCACTAAGGATGAGCTGCTCTAGTCTTCACTAGCTATATCCTTAGATAACAGGCACAGCCCATCACCTGTCCCAAACTCGAAGCTCTTCTAGGCTGGAAGGAAATTCCAGAGCCTGCACTCAGCCCCTTGAGCAGGACTTAGTGGAGATTTTGAATATATGTGTAAAAACTGTGAAAAAGAAGAAAAAGTTGTATTACAACTGATTTTTAAGGTGAGCTCATCAAGAGCAAAGATACATTATTTAGGACCAAGGCATAAAATGACCTCTGGTGAACAATATGAAAGCACCAAGGAACTAATCAAGAACAGAGTTAAGATCCAGAGGAAAGAAGTATTTTTTGTTATGGATTTAGACATGCAAAGTATGTACAATGAGAATGATAAGCATCATTCTTCTCTACAGCCAGCAAGCAAACAATGCAACTCTAAATTGAGTGACTCTCAATGACCAAGGTGGGACACTTGGTTAACAATGTCTCAAATAGGCATTTTAATAACAAAATTACTTCTAACTATGAACTATCTACATAATCATAATTCAATACAATTAAGTGTAGATATCAACAATAAGTACTCAAAGGAAGACTATAAATGAAAATAAAACCCTTTACCTCCATTCTCATGATAATTCTATTGTTCCTGGTTGTGATACTCATTAAGTGCTGAAATCGTAAATCTCGAGCTTGAAGACCTAATTCCTGGTATAATTCTATTTTCTTTCTTTCTAAAAATCAAACAGTTAAGACAAAAAAATTAAGATGTTAAATAAAATACAGCTTAATATCATAAGATATTTCAAAGACATTTCTTGATGTTTTTAAAAATGTTATTTGATTAAAGAAAACAAAAGTTATGGTGACTCTTTTGGCATTCTAAAGTCCCTAGAAATAGTTTCCCTCAAAAAAAAAATTTAGTTCTTCATGAGTAGTTGAAAGACTTAAAATTTACGTAAATCCATTTCTTCTGTGGAAAGAATGCTCTCCACAATTCAAAGTCACCATACTGTATCATTAACCTAAGAATTTAAACTAAAAACCACAATTGTATTACACCAGAAAACATTAAGGATTCTAAACAACTGCTAACACAAGATACTGTACCATGCAAAAAATGCCTTGCAGTAAACACAGCTTTATGACCTACAATTTATCATACTGTAGCAATAACCATATTAGTGATCTAATCTTCAATAAGAGACAACACAGCATAGCATGACAGATTAAAGAAAGCAGCCCTCAAAACCTGGAAGACCTTGGTTCAAGTCCTGCCTTTATATCTACTGGGTGTGTGACCGTGGGCAAGTCACTTAACTTTTTAGTACTCTAGGACAGTGGTGTCAAACTCAAATAAATATTTGGGGGGGGGGGGAGGATGTCGGCACTGTATGTAAGGATCCCTGCAGGCCTCATACAGACTTTACAAATCATGTGTTAACATTATTTATGTACAACTATAGTTTTAATTAATTTTGTTAAATATTTCTTAATTACATTTCAATTTGGTTCAGCTGCACTCAGGAGTGTTGAGGGGCACAATGCAGCCTACAGGCTACATGTTCTAGGAGATTTTCTAAGACTTTAAATTGCAGACAACTTGCTAACTTACATTGGTAGAGGGAATTTCCTCATCTGGGAGTTCCCACAGCTCCAGTCCTTATTTCTAATCTTTAACACTTCAAATTTGCCAGCAGATTATTTAAATTGTGCTTGCTTCTTAAAGCAGTACAAGAATTCGAAAAGGTAAATTAAGATATGTTAGATTTTCATAGCTGAAAAACAAGAAAATCATTATCTTGGACAGAAGGTTAGAGGAGTCCCAGGAATACATTCTATTAACATTAGTGCAATACTTTTTTTTTAAGTGCATATTCTAAAACACTTTATTCTAGGCAGCAAATGACCATACATCTGTGGTTGCAAAAAAAGATTCAAAAAATATAAAGTCACACTGCTGTGAAAAGATGACAGTGGTGCCTTCTGTGCAAGGGGATCCTAAAGAGATCTTAACAATCATCTCTGTTAAGGGTTAAATTGATTAAGGCAAGAAAAAGCTCAGGTCTAATGGTATAAAGTCTGAGGATGAATCAAGAATGTAGACTCAATGAGGTGTTTGATGACTTAAAAGAAGAAGCTCTTTTTCTCTTTCCTCTCTGATCCGTATTTGGTTGGAAATTCGGCTACATTCTAAAATGGATGGCTGGTTATCTGAGAAATAGCAAGATCCAAAAGGGAAGAGAAAAGAGATGGTAATGAGGGACAATTACAGTCCCTGTCAAGAGATAAAGAGCAACAAAACAGGGATCTGAACCTAAGGATGAACCAAGGCCACAAGACGCAAACATTTGCCTAGAAATAAGGGGAGGGATTACCCTGACACATGAAAGCAAACAAAAACTGAGGTGGGATGCTGAGGGTCAATGACTAACTGACATCTGGAGAAGAAGGATACCAGTAAACTTCATGGGGGATGGGAGGAGAATGAGATGAGGCCTGATGAAGATAATTTCCAGTGTTCAGACCATGAGGTAGAATTAGGCCACATTAGTGCTGTGAGACAATTCCCACAGCTACTTGTTGGAACCCTGTGGAATCAATAAACACATGTGAGCTTGTTGTCTCTATGCTACTCTGTGATTTCTGTTCTCTTCAGGATGAGACAGGGAGGAAAGAAGAGAAAAGTCACAATGGGAAAAAGTCTCAACCTAAGTCCGTTACTTTACAGATGAGAAAACTGCTATCCCAAAGAGACTGAACAATTTTCACACAAGGTCACCCAAGTACTAAGCAGAAGAACAGGAATTCAAAACCCAGGTCCTCTTATTTCAAATCCAGTGTTCCCAAACTCAGAGAAGAAAGCACCCAAAACACTGCACTTAGATACAATACAACATTTTAGTTTACATCTGATTCACTTATTAATGGAGTAAATAAATGACACTGTTTAGGGGAAAAAACAAACAGTGATACCTACCAAAAGAAGAAACATTCCCTTCCTTGTCAAATTTTGTCTAAAAAGAGATAACAGAAATTTGTTACTTTTAGAAAGCATAATTTATCTCATTGAAATATTTCCTGTAAATAGTTCAAACAAAAACACAGAACATTCTTTCAGTATGTACTGATGGCTATCAGGAGGTAAATTTCTGTAACTACCATCTTTTGGTAAACAGGCCCCAGAAGAAGATATTGTATAAAAGAATACACACAATTAATGTAAAATGATAGGCAGTAGTGTTTTTAATGCTTGTCCCAAGTTAAGACTTGAAAAATTATTTTTATTTCCTTTAGCCAAATACTATTTATCAAACACTTTTCATGCTCTATACACATCACTTCTCTACGATATAAACAGCTCTAGCCTTCCTCTTAAGCTCCAGCCCTACATCACCAACTGTCCATTGGATACTTCCAAATGTATATCTGGTGGGCATCTCAAACTCAGCACATCTGAAATGAAAGTCATAATCTTTCCCCAAGAAACTCAACCTTCTTCTGAATTTCCCTATTTCTGTTCAGGGTGTCACCATATTTCTAGTTACCTGAGTTCATAACCTTAACACATCCTCAACTCCTCACTCTCCATCATTCCAAGTATCCAATCAGTTGCCGAATCATGTATATTTCACAAATCTTTCAGATCATACCTTTCTCTCCATTTTCATAGTTACTGTTCCATGTCAGGCCCCTATCACCTCTTCAGTGGACTTTTCCAATAGCTTCTTAATGGATATTCTTGATTCAAGTCTCTTCCCTCTCCAATCTAGCCTCCACAAAACTGCCAAAATGATATCTCCTCCTTAATAACCTCCAGTGTCCCCCTATTTTCTTTAGGATAAAAATAAACTTCTTTGTTTGGGATATAAAGCTTTTTACAACCAATTCCAGTCTACTTTTCTAGCCACATCATATATTTCTTCTGTTCAGTTCAGTCCAGACCAGTACAATCAAATAGTCCCTCTTGCTATTCTTCCATACTGCAGTCCATCTCCCATCTTCATGCCTTTGTACAAGCTTTCCCTTGTATCTGGAACACCATTCCTCTTCAACACGGATTCTTAAAATTCCTAGTATCCTACGTGTGTTGGCTTAAGTGAAGTATTTTTACATGAAATGTTTTATGATCTAATTGCTATTGCCTCTCCTTTCATTCCTGTCTACTTATGTATGTTATATATTTTATACATATTGTCTCCTTCCCCCCAACTGAGGGTAGAGACTGTTTTATTTTGTCGCTGTATACCCAATACAGTAGTATTGTACAGTAGTATAGTAGCTGTCACAAAGCAGATTCTTAGTGCATGCTTGGTGACTGGCTGATGATTTCCTATAGGCAGAGGTTTAAATCCCAGCAAGGGCTAAGGGCTATCTGTCCTTCTGAAATGGATTTGCCAGAAATATTGTAGTATTAATGCAGAAATTCTAGAATTTTAATCTGGTAGATTTTGTTCTAGTTCACCACAGAGTATACCAGAATTACTGTGCAAAGGATTTCATCAGCTCTGTGTAATCATAGTAAGTTTATCTGGTTCCCAAGGCCTTTTCAATATGATTAAGCAAAACATTAAACATATAAGGAATTAATATAAATCTATCATTTCATTCCCCCCAAAAGAAAATAAGTTATGTCTTAGGATTGAAAACAGAAAAAAGGTAGTCTAAAAATAGAAGAGGAAAATCAATCATTTGTTAACATGAGACCACTCTTTCTAAAGGGAACACTTAAAGGACATTATGCAATCCTGTTAAAGTTCAATATGTTTCAAGGTGTTTTTTAAAACAAATATTAACCACAATAAAGTTGGAGAAAATAGTAAAATGCTTACCACAGTAAATACCGGCGCTACACTAGCTAAGGTGGCTTGGGAAGCATCAGAAGTACTGAGTCGAAGAATTTCACCTGAAAAAAACAGAAAATATCATGCTGTGAACAATGTTGTTATTTTATTCCCATATACACAAAAGTAAATTATTTTGAGCTAATTATGTGGACAGATTACTGGGCGTTTTATTGTTTCCCTTCTCTCTTGCCTACATTTAGACCATTTCACTACTTGCTAGCAACTCTACCAGACAATAAAGAAGAGTAGTAAAAAGAAGTTGGAGCAGCTAGGTGTCACAGCATGGATAGAGTGCTGGGCTTGGAATCAGGAAGATTCATCTTCCTGAGTTCAAATTTGGCCTTAGACACTTACTAGCTGTGTGACCCTGGACAAGTCACTTAACCCTGTTTGCAGTTTCCTCATCTGTAAAATGAGTTGGAGAAGGAAATAGCAAACCACTCCGGCATCTTGGCCAAGAAAAAACCAAATAGTGTTATGAAGTGTTGAACATGACTGAACAACAAAAAGAAGTCATGCTATCATTAAATAATTTTTCTATTTAGTTCTGACAAGTTTGGGAGACAAATCTTACAATTAATGACTAAATGAGATGTGTGGACAATCTATGGATTTTAATTATCTATGTTTGCTTTCTTATTGTTATGGTAACTCAATTCATTGAACAAATATCTATAACAGGTAAAGTCAGCAAGCAATGTGTAAGATTTTTAAAATGTGTTTTCTTTCAAAGTGCTCTAAAAACCAGGAGAATTTTTTCAAGGTCTTCTTTATTCTGTAGTATCAGAATCATGTTCACACGCAATGATGTTGATACATCTGTTTCAGGTACCCTCCCCTTTTTTTCAATCATCAGTAAGAATTTAAGTGCTAACTTTCTTATGTCACTTTATTATTACAATAAATCAGAGAAGGGGATACAGAGTGAGGATATATGGATGAGAAGGGAATTGATATAACCATCACCTCCAAGGCATCAAGGGCTTGGCTGGGGCTGTACACAAGGCATCTGCTTTGTGCAGGGTGTGGGGAGATGATTAATCAAGAAGCAAAGAGGCTTGGGATGAAGGGAGAACTGAGCCCCTGCTCTGGAAAAAGAACAGGAGCTGCCTATAAACCAAGGCACCAGTTTCCCAGGAGCTCCTGAAAGGAGGGTGTATCTCTAAGCACTTGCTTCAATTGCCAAACAAGAGGCCTGGCAGAAGGGGCATCCAGTCTTCCCTAGACTATTTCTCTCAGGACTGGGCATGGGGATCATTACATCCAATAATAGGTCCATGTGCCAAGCCAGTCTCTTGACCTAAGGTTTAAGAAGCACTTAAGGGGTCCAGGAGAGTGGAAAGAGTTTAAGAAGCCCTGCTCTAGAGTACTCCAGCAATTGTGTGGCTGTCCTACTTGGGGGAGGGGAAGTGAAGGTAATCTGTGGAGAGTTGGGCAGACTTCAAGATAAAATGGAGAACAAAAGGGACTGGTAGCATGGGGTCACAAAGAATTGGACAGGACAGAACAACCAAGAGAGGGGCACTGTGCTCCACCCTAGAGATATAAACCCCAAATCCCTGCCCTCTACAAAGGGATATTCAAAGCTGATGTCAGTTTTGCCCATATGGAATCTTTTTAATACTGACTGTGATCTTAATGATTCTTAATGCTTCATGACTCCTAAACTCTAATATAAGAAACCATACTTTTAGGCTGCTCCTTCCCACGTGAGCAATTAGGGAGAAACTCAACTTGGCAAGCTCTGGAGTGGCAATGGGGAGGAGTGGGTGGACACATTTAAGTGTTGGGAAGAGGGCGGGATGGAAGAGGGCAGAAAATAAGTCTTATTCAGTTCATAAGCAGTTCACAACTTAATACTGGGCAGAGAGGATAACTACAAAAACTTGCAAGACAATCAAAGGAGACCGAGCTAGGAGAGATTGCACAACGCTCCCCAGGAGGATCCTGGGAATTCCATGTGACGGGGACCGGGAAGGGTCAAATCGGGCACACGGACAACGCGTTTACCTCCAGGACCGATCCAAGGCCTAGGCCCGCTGAGAAGGCTCGGGGGAGGAAGGGGCCGTATACCTGATCTACTGGGCCGCCGGGGCTCACAGAGCTTCCGGAGCCAAGTACTCCGGGGCAGCCCGGTTCGGTTGTGTCTGGGAAGCGGCACTCCGGCCCAGGGTCCGAGGGAGGAGGCAGTGAGGAGGGCTCCGCGGGGCCGGGTCAGCGCTAGCGCGCCCAGGCCTCGCTGGGGCCGCCCCACAGCTCGGGGTAGGAGCCGGGCTAGGCTAGGAACACAATCCATAGCGTTGGAGAGCGGAAGCCTCAGCTGCCGGCAGCGAGATCCCTGCCCTCACGCCCCGGAGCAGCCATCAAAGCTCCGGCAACTGAGAAGTGCCCTCGCGGCCCGCCGGCTGAGCAGGCGCAGTAGCGCTCCGGCCCCGCGCGTCCCAAGTGCACGCTGCTCCCCGCCTCCTGTGGGCGCCCGCCCTCTTCTCACCGTAGCCAATCAGAAGCGGATTCCGCTTGTCACCGTTTTACTGGGAAGGGGGGAAACAGATGCCGGGTTCCAGGTGTTTGGGTGTATATACCTGGACTTCCTGAGGGGCTTGTGTCACCCGGCTACTGTTGGACTTGACTGGCAGTTTGTTCTTGGCTGTTCTGGGATGCTGTCCATTGGGACAAAGTGGGAATAATAATACCCCATCTCCCAGGGTAGACGCGAGGAAAACGAGAGGAATGCATGAATGGTTATATTTTGTACTTGGGTCCTTGGCCTTAGATGAATTCTAATGCAACTTTTTTTTTTAAATAAAGACATTATCACGAACTTGTCTTAATTTGCAGATGAGAAACTGGAGAGGGAGTGGAGAATCGAGGAAGTTTATTGTACCTCCTTTTTTTTTTTTTAAACGATTATCAAATCAAAACAACTGAGGTTTCACCTCAGACTCAAAAAACAGGGAAAGAAGTCAAAATATGGAAACTGGGAGAGGAAGTGGAGAATGAAGGAAGTTCATTGTACTTCCTTTAAAAAAATGGTTACTAAGTTAAAACAATTCTGAGGTTTCATTCAGTATCTAGAAAGCAGGGAAAGATGGCAAAATATGCTTGCTTCACTCTGAATAAGATCACAGAGGTCTTTCTAATCTCTGAAACTGGGCATTTTGTCATTTCTTTTGACACAATAATATTCCATTACATTCCTATTTCATGCATTCATGCCAAATTTGTTTAGCCATTCTCCAATAGGCGAACACTCCCTTAGTTTCCAGTTTTTGACTGCTACAAAAAGCTGCTAGAAATATTTTTGTGTATATATCATATATATATGTGTGTGTGTGTATATATATATATATATATATATATATATATATATACACACACACACACACATATATATGCATATATATCCTTTACCTCTTATTTGATCTCATGGGGCACAGGCCCAGTAGTTGTATTGCTGGGTCGAAGGGTATGTATGTAGGGTTAGTAACTTTGGGGTATAGTTCCAAATTGCTTTCCAGAATGACTGAACCACTTCACAGTTCCACTAGCAGAGCAGAAATATGCCCATTTTCCCTGTAGCCTCTTCAACATTTGTCATTTTTGTCTTCTGTCATCTTTTGCCAATCCATTTCACCTACATTTCCCAAGATATTCCTCTTCCCTTCCCTTTTCAACCATCCCATATGACAAATATTTAAAAAAGAGAGGGAAAAAATTCAGCAAAAACCAAGCCATTAAAAAAAATAAAACACCTTATATTATCTGTAGGGTTCCATATCCACAGTATTTCCCTTTGCAAAGAAGTAGGAGTTCCTTCTCATATTTCTTCTTTGGGGCCAAGCTGGGTCATTATAATTTCAAAAACACTAGGGAAACAAGGCAAATAAGTGATATGGATTCTACAATTAACAAGATTATGCTATTGGGGAAATAGCTGTAGTAGGGGAGGCACAGAGGTAAAATATGATTATGTGCAACAGAATTATCAACATCTCTCACATGTCCTTTCCTCTCCAAGCTGTCTACTTAACTTGGGGTTTACTGGCTAGATTTTTCTCTGGAAGACCAAGCCTTAAATGCAATCCATTCTGGAGCTCATAGATGGGGACAACAATAGGTCCTTGCCCACGCACCACTTAATGGTTATTTTTTGGGCTCTCCTGGCTCAGAGGAAACATAAATAGAAACTTTCTCTTTTGATGAGAAACCCTGAGGGTCTTTCCCTCCCAGTTTGGCCTTTTTTTTTTTTTTTTAATTAAAGGGGCCATCCTTACACTCACTCCTTAAAGAGGCCTATTCACTGAATGGGTGTTGCCTCACTCAAAATGAGAACTTGAGAAGACTTTGGTTTAAAAAGACCAAGATCTCCCACTACATCTGGGACCATCTGCAGTCGTCCTGATCTATATCTCACCACTGGACCCAGCTGGCTCTGGAGGAAAAGGTGAGGCTAGTGACCTTGCACAGCTCTTTCTTCCTCACTCAAATCTAAGTCATATCATCAGCTCCCTGATGTCATGGTGAAATGGAAATTGGAAATTCCCCTTTAAATTAATAAGATCACTCAAATAAATAGGTTCAGTTCAAATCTCGGTCATGACCGTTCCATATCTCCTGAGTGTTCTTGGCCTAGCATTCCAGGAACTAGCCATTCCTAGGTCACGTTGACATGGAGGGTTGGCTCCTCTCCTTGTGAGACGTGATGTTATTAAAAAACAAAATACCAAGCCTCAGGCGGATGGGAGCGTGGCTAAGGTCAGATGTGTATTGGACAAACCATGAATAGCGCAAGCATCAAAAAGGGCTTCTTGGCCCCAAGCCTTCTTTGTTTAGAACAATATAAAAACACTGCATCCTGTAAGCCCGCTGAGCCTCACCCGCGGGAAGGACGCTTCGCCCGGGGAAAATCTTTACACAATTCAAGTTTGTACAGGCTGCAACGGGGCTCCCAGCCGTTGATTGATTTTGGAGGTTCCCTTGAATTGGTGATGTATTCTCTTCCATTACCGACTCTCTTGATCGGTGCTATATTATTGATTGTTCTTATTATTTAAAATTGTTCTTATTATTTATGCTTTCTATGCAAATTCAAACTATCTGTGCTTTGCTTCTTCTAAATAAATTATCTATTTCCTATTATTTTCTGGTGCATTGGAGAGTGTCATTTATAGGAGCGAATCCGAACCTCACTAAATCCTACTAATACACATGGTCCTCACAACCTGTGAATAGTCCCGAGCTGCCTAAATGGGGACAGTTGGACAACTCGGCTGGTCCTCTCCTCTCCTTTCCCTTTCCCCTCACCTCCTGAGGGTGTTCTGCCCAAAGAAAGGTAAATTTTAATGGCTGAAAGTTGCCTACTTAACTTGGGGTTTACTGGCTAGATTTTTCCCTCAAAGACTAAGCCTCAAACCCAATTCACTCAGGACAAGAGTGATCACTTAGTGAAGGAGGTTAAGAAGTTATCAGAGAAGACGAGAACCTGGATGGGAATGCCACAGAAGTCAAGGGAAGAGAGAATTTAGAGAAAGAGGTCCTTAGTAATGTCAAATGTTACAGAGTCAGAGAGAAACTATTGGCAACCTTGGAAAGTCACATTTCAGTAGCCTGGTAGAAATAAATTCTGGATTGCAAGGAATTTTCATTTCAATTTCATAGATTTAAAGTTGGGAGGTTCCTTAGAAGTCCAATTTCTGGCTCCTCCCCAAGAATTCCTTCTTATCTGGCATATGGTCTATAGCAGGTTCAGTCCTGGAGGAGCCTGTCCTCTAATAAGAGAGAAAGTATATTCCTTTTCTTACACTTTTCAGTTCATTGAAAAAAGCCCTGTGCACGCCAGTGTGCCAGGGACAAATTGCTTAAGGTTTAGGTTTTGGCTCATGGCAAAGGAGAGAAGTAAGAAGGCACTCAATGTATCACATAAAATCAGACATAGGACAGAATTAGCTAGGGGCCCAGGCACAATCTTGCCTAGCTGACACTTCACATAGGAGCCACTAAGGGATTTAGGGGGAAAGAGTGATGCCTACCCCCTCTAGACACAGAGAGTACTATTTGCCACAGGGAGAGTTGAAAAAATAGAATGAATCAAAAGCTATTTCTTCTTTTTAACTGATATAGGACCAAGGGACCACCTAGGGTTTGTCACATTATATCAAAATTAAGCTATACACAAAAGAAATGCTAAACACTGAACACTCACATGTATGCATTTGACAAAAATAATTGGATTCACTTTCTTTTTTTTAAATGTGAATTAAGCAAACTTTATTTTTATTATTTTTTAACTTCAAATAGTATTTTATTTTTCCCCCCACAATTACATATCAAGAAAATTTTTATCATTTATTTTTTACAAGATTTTGAGTTTCAAATTTTTCTCCCTCCCTCCCTCTCCTCCCCTCTTCCGAAAACATTAGGCAGTTTGATATAGTTTATACATATGCTGTCATGTAAAATATATTTCCATATTCATGTTTGTGGAAGAACAAACAGATCAAAAGGGTAAAAACACAAGAAAGAATAAAGTAAGTAAAAAAAGATGTGCTTCAATCTGCATTCAGAATCCATCAATTCTTTATCTGGATGTGGATAGCATTTTCCTTTGTGAGTCCTTTATACTTGTCTGCATCATTGTGTTGCTGAGAAAGCTGTCATTCTTAGTTGATAATCACATGATGCTGATACTGTGTACAGTGTTTTCCTGGTTCTGCTCATTTTACTTTTCAATAGTTCATACAAATCTTTCCAGGTTTTCCTGAAATGTGCCCAATAGTAATTCCATTATATTCATATACCACAGCTTGTTCAGCCATTGATGGGCATCCCCTCAATATCTAATATTTTGCCACCACGAATAGGGCTGCTATAAATATTTTTGCACATGTAGCTCCTTTTCCCTTTTTTGTGATCTCTTTGGGATACAGACCTAAAAGTGGTATTGCTGAATCAAAGGATATGCACAGTTTGGTTGCCCTTTGGGTATAGTTCCAAATTGTTCTACAGAATGGTTGGATCAGTTCTCAACTCCACCAACAGTGCATTAGTGTCCCAATTTTCCCACATCCTCTCCAGCATTTATCATTTTCCTTTTCTATCATATTAGCAATCTAATTAGTGTGAGGTGGTATTTCAGAGTTGTTTTAATTTGCATCTCTCTAAGCAAAAGTGATTTAGAGCACTTTTTCATATGCCTATAGATAGCTTTGATTTCTTCATCTGAAAACTTCCTGTTCACATCCTTTGACCATTTATCAATTTGGGAATGACTTGTACTCTCATAAATTTGACTCAGTTTTCTATATAATTGAGAAATGAGGGCTTTATCAGAGATACTTACTATAAAGATTGTTTCCTAGCTTTCTGCTTTCCTTCTAATCTTGGTTGAGTTAGTTTTGTTTATTCA